TTTACCAGAATGTTTCATCTATCTTATAATTTCCATTTTGTATTTTGTAATTTGTATTTTGTAATTTGAATTTCTTTTATTGTTGATTTTTTCAGTATATTTGCTTGCAACTGTACCATGTTCAGCGCTTTGGGCTTCCTGACAGGGTTGCGGAAGGCGCTTTATAAATAAAGCTTTGATTGATTGATTGATTGGTTGTCCAACGAGTTGAATGAATTAAAATGAACAAGTTAAAGTGTCAGCTCCCTTGGTTTTTGGTGGGTGAACACCATTTAGTGACTCATTTCTCATTTACAGGAGGTTTTGCAGCAGCCAAGGCTAAACCAAGACTTCTCAATCCTGGTCTCCCAGGGCATGAATGTTTCCCTGCACCAACACACCTGGTCTGAACCAATGGGTGGTTACCAGAATTCTGAAGAAATTGTAGCCTGGCAAGCCATTCTATACACAGTGCTTTGCATAAATGAGTATAACCCCTTTAAAAAGTTCTAATTTAATCAGTAGCTCAATGAACAAAAGAACAATTTCCTGATTTTTCACAAGGCTGGGTTTTATTGAACACGTGTTTAACTCCATAACACGAAATTAAAGTAAATATTAACTTGGATCACAAAATCTTCAGCTTTACTAAAATTGGTTGAAGCATGAATACACCCCACAACAAAAACTACTACATCTAGTATTTTGTATGACCACAGTGATTTTCAAGGACAGCACCAAGTCTTCTAAGCATGGAATGAACAAGTTGGCAACATATTGCAACATCTATCTTTTTTCCATTCTTCAAGAATAACTTCTTTTAGAGTCTGGATGCTGGATGGAGAGCGATGCTCAACTTCAGAATTTCTCACTGGTGTTAGATTGGGTTCAGATCAGGAGACGTCCTTGGTCATTCAATCACCTTCACCCTGTTCTTCTTCAGAAATGCAACAGTAGCTTTAGATGTGTTCTGGATCATTGCCTGTTGGAAAAGTGCACGATGACCAAGTGCACGGAGTGATGGCAGCCTTCCTCTCCTTCAGTACAGAGCAGTACTTTGTTGAGTTCATGATACCATCAATGAAATACAACTCTCCAACACCAGCAGCACTCATGCAGCCCACATAAGGACACTGCCACCACCATGTTTCACTGTAGGCACCTTGCATTTCTCTTTGAAATCCTCACCTTCACAACACCATACAGTTTTGAAACATTAGTTCCAAAAACAGTGATCTTCGTCTTATCACTCCAGAGTAAGGTGTCCCAGTAGTCTTCATCTCTTTCAGCATGGGTCCTACCAAATCCTAGGTGTGATTTTTTTGTGCGTGGGCTTTAGGAGAGGCTTCCTTCGTGGACGATACCCATGCATGCCATTCCTCTGCAGTGTATGCTGTATGGTGTCACAGAAAACGGTCACTCTAGTTTGGCTTTCTGCTTTAGCTAACTACAGTGAACTTGCATGGAGATTTTCTTCAATCCTTCTCATCAGCTCCTGTCCAGATGTTAACTTCTAAGGATGGCCTGGAAGTCTCTGTAAGATGGTTGCACTTCCATCTTTCTTAAAAAGGTTTGGATCACTTTTACTACAGTATTCTGACTGACATGTAAAGCTTTGCTGATCTTCTTGTTGCCCTCACTTTTTTGTGTAAAGAAATATTTCCTTTCTCAGATTTTGTGACATTTCTCTTCCATGTGGAGCCATTGCTGACAGCATGAAATGGGAAAGGGCTTTTAATGCCCTTTTATAGTCACCTGTCTGCTGGACAACCAGGGGTGGGGAACCCTGGTCCATCGAGGGCCGCTATCCAGCATATTTTACTTTCAACCCTGCTTCAACGCACCTGATTTCAATCAGCAGATGATTAACTGGCTTCTGCAGAGCTTGATGAGCTGCTGAACAGGTGAATAAACTGTTGAATCAGAAGTGTTGGAGCAAAGACATGCAGGATACCGGCCCTCAAGGACCAGGGTTCCCCACCCCTGTAAACGAATCATTAGACTCACTTGTGGTTCAGGGCTGCAATGATTCGTCAACGTTGTCGACAAATATCGACAATAGAAATAGTCGACAATGAATTTCATTGTCGACATTGTCGCCAGACGTGTATTTTCCGACAGAGTGAGGCATCTCACGTCATTACAATCTCTGCCGAGAGCCGCACGTGCGCAATAGCTTCTCTGCTGAACGTCAACTAACAGAAATGGCAGCGTCTAACACAGCAGCTACGCGTACCAAAACATCAAAAGTTTGGGAGCATTCTAGCCTGGATACAGCAAATAAAAAGATTACCTGCATTATTTGCAAAGCAGTCCTTGCGTATTATGGTAGCACGTTGGTGATGCACGAACACTTAAAGAGAAAGCACGTCGAACAGTTGAATGAAACTGAGTCGGACTCACCTCAGTAAGATTTAAATAACACAAAGCCAATACATTTTGTTTTGGATGTACGTTGTACATCTTTTTTTAAACGTATTTTCGCTTTTAAAAAAAAGAGAGATTTAATGTTATGCCTGACTGTGCCTGACAAAAGTATTTTAATTTTATTTATGCATTTATGTCTATACTGACTGAGCACCGAGACAGGGAATTTTTATTTACTTTTAGTATGAATTGGCCTATCAGCAGCAAAGTTCAATAAAATATGCATTTTCCATTGAAGTACCCATCTTTCTTGTGTTTATTATAATTTTTCACATAATTAAAGCAATCTCGTGCTAAATTTAAGAAAAATTTAATAATCGTTTCAATAGTCGGTGACTAGTCGACTATTAAAATAGTCGTTTGTTGCAGCCCTACTGTGGTTGAATGCCTGTTAATTAGAATTTTTTTAGTCTTAAGTGTGGCTTTTCTCCTAAGACTATAACTGGTGGGGTGCACTCATTTTTGCAACATGGGCTTGAATGGATACGTTAGGAAAATCATTTTTTGTGTGCAAATGAACAAATCTTGTTTGCATTGAATGACCCACATTTTGTAGTTCGGCATCTCATAAAAAATGTTGATTCTGAAAGGAAACTAAAGGTTTTCTGACAACTGTAGTGGGGTGTACTCATGAGCTCAGTCATTAGGCTAAATCTATGGTTGTCCTTTAAACTGTCTCTGTGTGTAATTGGACAGTGCTAGGATCAATCAGAGCAACAAACAGCAGGATGTATTCACTGCTATGGAAATCAGTCCACCATACACAGTAAAACATACCTACTTTTTTTTTTAAATAAAGGACTCAAGTGCCTCTATCTGCTTATGTCTCAAAGAAAATCCCAAGTCTAAATAGTCCAGAGTTGATGCTTGCTAACATCTTTTTTTTTTTTTTTTTTTTTTTACAAGTGTTGTTCCTGACCAGATGCCATCTTTGTAGTTTTTCTCCCTTGCAGCTCTGGCATTAAGCCGACTCAACGTCTCTCTACAAAGAGTGCTTTGATTGGCTAGACCATAAATTGATCGGGCCAATGATGGCCAAAAGGGGCAGCAGTGGCTCAGGAGGTAAAGCGGGTTATCCAACAATCAGAGGGGTGTAGGACTGATCCTGGTTCCCAGCAGAGAATGCTCCTTGAGCAAGACACTTCACCCACGATGCCTGCTGGTGGAGGTCGAAGGGACTGGTGGTGCTAGTGCTCAGCAGCCTCATCTCTGTCGGGGAGCCCCAGGGCAGCTGTGGCTACATTGTAGCTCATCACCACATGGGTGTGAATGGGTGGGTGAATGACTGTGTTGTAAAGCACGTTGTGGGGGGTGGGGGGTGTGGTGCTCTAGGACTCTAGAAGGTATAATATCAAATACAGGCCATTTACCTGCTGAGGCTACAATGGAGTACGGCTAGACCAACCTGCTGAAGAGGTGATTCAACCATTAAATCAGGTATGTTGGTGCAGAGACACAGCTCAAACTACCAGGGCAGTGCCTTCCAGGACCACGATTAAATAACCCTGTTCAGGGCTTATAGAGACCATCTTTTGTTTTCAACAGTAATTTATGACAGTTTGTTTAAACATCATTTTATTTACTGTATTTCTAGTTTTACATTTTACAGAATAACCTATTTAATTACACTCTTGGGAAAACTGAAAACTTTGGCTTTAGCTTTTCCTCATAAACCTAGCTACTGGGATGAATTAGTAAAGTGGTACATCTGGAGTCTAAGATGGAACAGCTGGCAGGTGTTTATTAGAGAGTAGTCTCATGTCTCTGTTCCCACCAGACAAAAATATGCAGCTGAAAAGCCCCAAATCAAATTAAAGCTACAACTCAGATGTGTTGTTCCAAATACAAGGTTTTGACTTCATGACCAAGTAACTGATGGAGACCTCCAGCGGTCCCAAACATGGTGTTTAACTCTGACTAACTACAGACAATTGCAATGTAGTACTAAATGTTACCTTGAGAAGTGAATGGACAACAAGAAACCAAACCACAAAAGCAAGAAAATTAGGACTACATATCATACTTCAGAAAAATACTCAACTTCCAATATTTAAGTATCTTTTAGATTTCATAACTTATGTCAGGGTGACTGGGCTCTCCCTTAGAGAAAGGGTGAGAAGCTCGGTCATCCGGGGAGGGCTCGGAGTAGACCCGCTGCTACTCCACACGGTGAGAAGCCAGTTGAGGTGGCTCAGGCATCTGGTCAGGACGCCTCCCTGGCCGGGGACGATAACAAATTTTGCTGGACGATATATTCTCCGACAAATTATTGACGATAAACAATATTGGTCGACATTATCGAGACCAAAATAACCACTTATGTAATGTTAATATAACGCAAGTACACCCTTTAAAATACAACAATTAAAGATTTAACATTGGAATCTCCAAAACCTGAACTTCTAAATAAATAATAAATATAAAACAATAAATAAAAAAGGACCCTCACTCTCTGTTAGAAAATATTGCACCAAAAAGAATAAAATAGACCATGTCTCTCCAAAGCAATACAATGGCCGATCCACTGTCAACAACCAAAACTGCACTTCAATAATATTAATAATAATACAAATAAGAGTTGTACATTTCTTTACCTCAATATATTGTCTTCGTCTTCCTCCGCTTATCCGGGTCCGGGTCGCGGGGGCAGCATCCCAGCTAGGGAGCTCCAGGCCGTCCTCTCCCCGGCCTTGTCCACCAGCTCCTCCGGCAGGACCCCAAGGCATTCCCGGACCAGATTGGAGATGTAACCTCTCCAACGTGTCCTGGGTCGACCCGGGGGCCTTCTGCCGGCAGGACATGCCCGAAACACCTCCCCGGGGAGGTGTCCAGGAGGCATCCTGACCAGATGCCCAAACCACCTCAACTGGCTCCTTTCGATCCGGAGGAGCAGCGGTTCTACTCCGAGTCCCTCCCGAATGTCCGAGCTCCTCACCCTATCTCTAAGGCTGAGCCCGGCCACCCTACGGAGGAAACTCATTTCGGCCGCTTGTATCCGCGATCTCGTTCTTTCGGTCATTACCCAAAGCTCATGACCATAGGTGAGGATTTGGACGTAGATCGACCGGTAAATCGAGAGCCTGGCTTTCTGGCTCAGCTCACTCTTCCCCACGACAGATCGGCTCAGCATCCGCATCACTGCAGACGCCGAACCAATCCGCCTGTCGATCTCCCGATCCCTCCTACCCTCACTCGTGAACAAGACCCCGAGATACTTAAACTCCTCCACTTGAGGTAGGACCTCTCCCCCGACCCGGAGGTGGCAAGCCACCCTTTTCCGGTCGAGAACCATGGTCTCAGATTTGGAGGTGCTGATCCTCATCCCAGCCGCTTCACATTCGGCCGCGAACCTACCCAGCAAGAGCTGAAGGTCAGAGCTGGATGAAGCTAGGAGGACCACATCCTCCGCAAAAAGCAGAGACGAGATTCTCCTGCCACCAAACTCGACATACTCCACACCACGGCTGCGTCTAGAAATTCTGTCCATAAAAGTGATGAACAGAACCGGTGACAAAGGGCAGCCCTGGCGGGGTCCAACCCTCACTGGGAACAGGTCCGACTTACTACCGGCTATGGGGACCAAACTCACGCTCCTCTGGTAAAGGGACTGAATGGCCCTTAACAGAAAGCCACCCACCCCATACTCCTGGAGCGTCCCCCACAGGGTGCCCCTGGGGACACGGTCATAAGCCTTCTCCAAATCCACAAAGCACATGTGGATTGGTTGGGCAAACTCCCATGCCCCCTCCATCACCCTTGCAAGGGTATAGAGCTGGTCCACAGTTCCACGGCCAGGACGAAAACCACATTGCTCCTCCTCTATTTGAGATTCAACTATCGATCGGACCCTCCTCTCCAGTACCTTGGAGTAGACCTTTCCAGGGAGGCTGAGGAGTGTGATCCCCCTATAGTTGGAACACACCCTCAGGTCACCCTTCTTAAAGATGGGGACCACCACCCCGGTCTGCCACTCCCTAGGAACTGCCCCCGATGACCACGCAATGTTGTAGAGACGTGTCAACCATGACAACCCTACAACATCCATAGCCTTGAGATACCCAGGACGAACCTCATCCGCCCCCGGGGCTCCGCCGCTGTGTAGTTGTTTGACTACCTCAGCAACTTCTGCCCCCGAGATCGGACAGTCCATCCCCAGGCCTCCCAGCTCTGGTTCCTCCTCGGAATGCACATTGGTGGGATTGAGGAGCTCCTCAAAGTATTCCTTCCACCGTCCGACTATAGCCTCAGTTGACGTCAGCAGCTCCCCATCCCCACTGTAAACAGTGTGAGCGAGTTGCTGCCTTCCTCTCCTGAGGCGCCGGACAGTTTGCCAGAACCTCTTTGGAGCCGATCGATAGTCTTTCTCCATGGCCTCACCAAACTCCTCCCACGCCCGAGATTTTGCCTCAGCAACTGCCACTGCTGCACCCCGCTTGGCTATCCGGTACCTGTCTGCTGCCTCCGGAGACCCACAGACCAGCCACGCCCTGTAGGCCTCCTTCTTCAGCCTGACGGCTCCCCGAACCTCTGGTGTCCACCAGCGGGTACGGGGGTTGCCACCACAACTGGCACCGGCCACCTTACGACCACAGCTAGCAACAGCCGCCTCGACAATCGCAGAGTGGAACAAGGCCCACTCGGACTCAATGTCCCCCACTGCTCTCGGGACGTGGTCAAAGCTCTGCCGGAGGTGGGAGTTGAAGACCGTCTTGACAGGTTCTTCTGCCAGGCGTTCCCAGCAGACCCTCACTATGCGTTTGGGTCTGCCAGGTCTACGCGGCATGTTCCCTTGCCATCTGATCCAACTCACCACCAGGTGGTGATCAGTTGACAGCTCCGCCCCTCTCTTCACTCGGGTGTCCAAAACATACGGCCGCAGGTCAGATGATACAACTACAAAATCTATCATCGACCTGTGACCTAGGCTGCCCTGGTACCAAGTGTACCGGTGGGCATCCTTATGTTCGAACATGGTGTTCGTTATGGCCAAACTGCGGCTTGCACAGAAGTCCAATAACAAAACACCGCTCGAGTTCTGATTAGGTGGGCCGTTCCTCCCAATCACACCCCTCCAGGTCAAGCTGTCATTGCCCACGTGAGCATTGAAGTCCCCCAGCAGGACAATGGAGTCCCCTGATGGAGCACTATCTAGCACTCGTCCCAGGGACTCCAAAAAGGGTGGGTACTCTGAACTGATATTTGGCCCATAAGCACAAACAACAGTCAGGACCCGTTCCCCGACCCGAAGGCGCAAGGAAGCTACCCTCTTGTCCCCCGGGGTAAACCCCAACACACAGGCAGAGAGTCTCGGGGCTAACAAAAAGCCAACCCCAGCCCTCCGCCTCTCACCCGGAGCAACTCCAGCAAAGTAGAGTGTCCAACCCCTCTCCAGGTCTCGGGTTCCAGAGCCAATGCAATGTGTCGAGGTGAGTCCGACTATATCTAGCCGGTACCGCTCAACCTCTGCCACAAGCTCCGGCTCCTTCCCCGCCAGCGAGGTGACGTTCCATGTCCCAAAAACTAGTTTTCTTGTCCGGGGATTGGACCGCCAAGGCTCCCGCCTTGGTCTGCCACCCGATTCGCATTGCACCGGACCCTTCATGTTCCTCCTGCGGGTGGTGGGTCCACAGTTGGACGAGCCCATGTATCCGGTTCGGGCTGGGCCCGGCCGGGCCCCATGGGCGAAAGCCCGGCTACCAGGCGATCGCTCACGGGCCCCAACCCCAGGCCTGGCTCCAGGGTGGGACCCCGGTAACCCTCCGGGCCGGGTACTCCGACTCTTCGTTTTAACCGCCATGAAAGATCCTTCGAACCGTTCTTTGTCTCACCCTTCACCTAAGACCAATTTGTCATGGGAGACCCTACCAGGGGCACTAAGTACCCCAGACAACATAGCTCCTAGGATCATTAGGGCACTCAAACTCCTCCACCACGATAAGGTGACGGTTCAAGGAGGAGCTCAATATATTGTGACTGGAAAAATTATTGAGTTCATTTTCATCTATCGTACGATTAATTGATTTATTGATCATCATCCCAGCTCTAGGTTTTGCTTTCCGGAGGGAAATTTGGGCCTCTCTGCTTAGGCTGCTGCCCCACAACTCGACTCTGGATAAGAGGAATAAAATGGATGGATGGGATGGGATAGAAATTATGAATGGTGGTGGATAAAGGTAAGGTGACTGGTGAAATGGGTCAGCGTATGTCAATACACAATCCAAAAGTCATACAGTGTGTTTACATGCAGCCAGTAACCCTTTTAAAACCCAAATATTCACAATAACCCGGTTCCGCAGGTCCTTGTAAACACCGCCAAAAACCCGGATATGCTCATAACCGGGTTTTTAACCCGGTTACTACACCTGGGGTAACCCTTTTCTAACCCGAATGTTTGGTCGTGTAAACGCATATCGGGATATCCCCATCAAAGCGTGTGTTCTGCGCATGCTCTGTTCGCAAGGAATCTTGGTCTTTTGAGTAGCGAGACGTCTTGTACGCGCCAGAACACCGGAAGTAAACAACAAGTTGGGAACAAAATGGCGAGTCGCGGCACAGCACCACACTTTTGGAGTGACGAAGAAACTAAAGCGCAAACAAACGCGGTCGCTATCTCTTCCGAACTGGGAAACATGTTGTTTTCACGGATACTGGAACAAGAAGAACCGGAAATGACGCACATTGCGTCTGGACGTAGTCCATACGTCCTGACGCTACCCCAACGTCCGCATTTAAATCGGGTTATGCAAGTTAGAGGTAACTCTTTCTATTTATGCTTGTAAACGGGTTATTCTGATCAACTCAGAAACCCGAATACTGACCTTAACCCGATCATAACCCGGATATTGGCTGCATGTAAACGTACTCATAGTAGGAGTAAAGGAAGTAATTTATCATCCACAATTTGGAGCCTGCTTCAGTAACAGAAGACTGCTGAAATTCCTCTAGGACAGCTGGAGGGATGGAGCACATGTTGGGTCATTTCTAATTACCTCACTGACTGATTCTGTGTTTATATTAAGATAATTAAACTTGTGTATACCTTAATTGCAAATGAGTGACCTGGAGTATAACAAAAACTAAGCTTTGAACAGTCAGTTTAAAAATTAAACTGTATCAAAAAACAACCAGGAGACAAGAAAAGGCCAAACAATTCCTATAATAATTATAGCATCTCTCAACTTTGCCCTATGGAAAGAATGTTGCATGCTTTTGTAGAGCTCAGTATATGTTCTCTACTCTGCCCGGATACCTTCCACACCTTTATGGTTGTGAATATAATTGCAGTTAACAACTGGAAGATGAAACTTCCTAACGTAATGCTTAAAATATTGTCATCAACAACACGACACCCAACATTTACAATATTAAACACTTATTTATTGGGCTTCAACAAATAAATAATCTTAAATAAACAATAAATAAATTATCTTATGTTACAAACATCCTCTACACTTTCACAAGACAAAAAAAATAAGAGCTTGGAAACAAAAAGTAAAAACTACTGTGTCCTCCTTTACCTCATCTCTCTGTTAGGTGCTATTTTCAAACAGAACTGCAATGAACAACTGTGATTTCTCACTTAGTGTACCGCCACTCGAACTCCTCCTTTGTAAACAGACCAAGACCTAAAAGACCACACCTCTGGCTCTAGTCGAATACAAGTCAAGAAATCTAGACAAACCATAGCAATGGCAAAAGATTTTACACTGCAGGCCAGTCTATCCATGCTCCACTAGTATCAGCAGGTCTACCATTGGAGCAGACTATTTTAGGTCTAGCCATTCGCAGCGCTCTGCTTGTTGGGCAGGCTTAGCGCCAACGCTGCAATGGAGAAAAACTACAAAGTTGGCACTGGTTCAGGAAAGACACTTGTTAGAAACATCTTTAGTATCAACTGTGGACAATTTGGATTTGGGCTTTTCTTTGAAACATGAGCAAATACAGGTACTTTGGTCCATTATTAAAAAAATAAAGGATGTACCTGCTTCTTCCTCTTCTTTGACGGTGTATGGGAGACTGCCCTGTTGACTGATTTCTATAGTGATGAATACAGTGATTCCTCGTTTATCGCGGTAGATGCGTTCCAGACCTGGCCGCGATAGGTGAAAATCCGCGAAGTAGGGACACCATATTTACAGTACAGTGTCAGAACCCAAGGCCAGCCTCTTCCAGCTAGCCGGCCTCCACTATGGACCACAACTCCCAGCATGCCCCTTGCGGGGATTCCCTCCACGTCGCACCTACGTCACAAACCGCGGCTATAAACGGAAGTCGCCTTTCCAGCTCACCACTCAGTCATCGTTTCTTCAGATTCATGATCAGAGTTTCCAACCTACCGATCCATCCCACGAACTATCAGCTCATAGTAAGTTATCTTACTTACTTATGGAAATCCCGGCATTTCCGTGTCACTTCGTTGATGCTCGAACGCTCGGGGGTTTCCTAGATTAAATCGTGAGCCGGCGTTTCACCGACGCTCTAACTTCCGCGTCTGTGAAACCACGCTCCCTACAAGCTCAACTCCCGACTCCAGCCGACTAGTCTGACATACAGTACTATATTGAATTATCGTATGATCACATTCTCTTTTTGTGGGTAAAACTCAAGAAAAAAATTTTACTTGTTTTTTTTATAGTTTTATTACAAAAAGTGCATTTTATGATGAAAATGATGAAAAAAACAGGAATGTCTTGATATTTCGCATAGAAAAATACTGCGAATCGGTGAAAAATACCACAAATCGGCGAATTTCCCTTGAATAAGGCTCCAAAGAAAAAATCCGCGAAGTCGTGAATCCGCGATAAACGAACCGCAAAGTAGCGAGGGATCACTGTACTTCATGTTGCTTATTACTCTGATTGGTTCAAGCACTGTCCAATAGCATGCAGACAGTTTGAAAGACAAACTTCGATTCTTCCCCAGGACTGAGCTCTGTCTAATGTACCGTGGCCACACTACAGATTTACACATATAGGATGGCTTGTTAAGCTAGTAGGTGGCATGACTTCACAAGCACGCCGTTTTTACAAATTAAACATTTTAAACCATTTCCTGACTGTCAGTAACGACTTCAATGGAAGAAAATGTTGCACAACAAATTCTGACCTTGTAATTAAATACCCTTGAAATGTAAAAGCATATATTAAAGGAGTTCACCATCTAATGTCCTTATCCTGTCAGGATAGATAGCTTTTAATTTAAAAGCAAACCATCCTTCAAACTCCAGCCTCTCTGTGAGAGATTTACTCAACAATAACTTCTGATAAAGCTATTTGATTGTTTATCAGCATAAGCCACTGACATGCTGTGGTTTTCTTCAGGACTACTCCCACCAGCAGTGGTAATCTCTGAAGCCTCACATACCTGCAGCGATCATCCCACACATGTTCCAGTCACAGTTACTCTGAGATATAATTGGATCTCAGAGGGAAATTTATTGTTATACTCATACGTTCTCACACTGCTAATCACTTGATAGGCCATGTGGTAGCAGGAGATGCTTCGCAGAACAGGATGACCCAGAAAGAATCAGAAACTACGGATGGCTTTTAGGTAGGGAAGGCTTTTAATTGCCTACCTGTGCGGTTAAACCTGACAGCAAACTATGGATGAAATAGCCAAGAATAAAGTTCAGTTCATTTGTTTTGCAAATAGTCTTCAAGTCAATATAGTGAATAGGTGACTGGTTGTGGAATTCACCTGATAAGACAGTCATAACAGAAAAACTGAAGATAAAGGTGTCAAAGTTCAAAAAAATAAAAATAAAACATCTGTATAAACATAAGACTTCATCTCATGAGATTTGAAGTCATTCAGGCCAGATTACAAATGTAAATTTAATTCAAGTCACACAACATCGGAACCTTTAGTCACACCATAACAGGTTCCACTTTCAATAGGGAATACAATTTGAATTGTGCATGGAAACATGATTGTTTAATACACCTATTTAAAGCCTTGGCATTCACTTTGAAGTGAACCGCTGCTTGTAAATGCAGACCAACTTTAATGGTCGCGTGAGAGTGTTTCATGCTCATCAGCTAACTAAAGCCAAACCAGGTCAAAACTTACTCAACTTCATTCATTTCACTTGTTGCACACCTAATGAGTTTCTGCAGCTGCACGGGGAGACTAAACAACCCGGTGCCTTCACGAACAAGGGCCAATAAAAGCTAACGCCATCATTAAAGTAGTTAGCCAGCTAGCATTAGTTCTGTGCGGACAGTTGACTTTGTCTTACCTTTTTCCTGGTTAAAAGAGATGATCTCCTCCTCCTTTGGGTTTGAAACTTGGGTTATTATGGACATGTGGTCCATTGAGACGGGTGGCTATTCCTGTTTTTAGTAACGCGCTTGCTATCAGCTTGATGAGGGGGACCCGCTTGGCCACAAAGCCAGGAAACTCCGAGGCGAAGGGTTGTGACAGCGGCGGTAGCCAGCCAGCTAACACGGTGGTGAAGGGAGGCCAGCGGGCGGCAGGCATTTATGGCTTCACAAAGAATATCATCGCTACAAACAAGTGTTTGTGGCCAACTTCGGTAACGCAATGGTCTAAAAAAACAAACAAACAAAAAAAAAACGCAGACAGACGTTAAATAGCTAAGCAACTTTAGTTAGCAAGTAGGGTGGATTAGCGAGTTAGCTTTCAAGCTCCGATTATCCAGCACAAGAGGCCGCCGTGTCTGGAACGAGGCAGAAAATACTCGGAAGCCCGTCGGAGGATCGTTCTCCTCCAGAATCACGCATTAAGTACGCGCCAGTAGCACAACATCCAAGGAGGCAAAGACTTTATGGGTCGTTTCACATCTGCTGGCCCTGTGCAACATGGAGTCTTTATGTATTTTGAGTTCCATCTGAAGCGGGGGCGTTGGGAGTGGGAGGGGGCGGCTTGTTTCTCTGATGGATTCTCAACTCCCAGGCAGCTCTACACCCGCAGCTGGCCGAACGGCTGGAGCAAGGCACACGCAACAGTTCTTAACTCTTGTTAAGTAGTCCCGAACACATCTAAACGCAATATACTCAGCCCAAATAAAATACCACGAAAATGATCTATAGATTCATTACGGAGTTGGTTCACAAATAGCTAATATTAGAGCTAACAGCTCACAAAAATAATCCACACCAGCTCTCGAGAGTTTTCTTCTCGTTCAGGAATTGCCATAACCATAGAGCGCCATCTAGTGTCTATGTCAGGGAACTGCTGCAGGGATCCGAGGCGCTGATTAAAAAACAGGTGGGCTGCTCAGTTACATAAGCCTCGAGCCCTTTTGTTAGGAAAAGAGTGGTTATGTGTTAGACTCGTTACAAATTACTTATGGGCTTTTATTTATTTAAAATTCAAGATTCAAAGTATTCAATGTCAAAGCTTGTAAACAAATTAGAATGCCACTCCTCCATTTTGCACAAAAAGACAAAAATCGCAGTTATTTACAGAAATACAGTTTTATCTTGACCAGCTTTGCTCGAATAAGGTGCTTTATTACAAGCAAAACGGTCTCAAATGGCAGTTTAGTTTTAATCCAAGTGCATTAAAAATGTATTATTGGTAAAATACGCACGGCCCCTGCCTGAATCATGTATTGAGCAGCCTTCTCGAGACAGGAGAGGCATAATGTGGGTCCATTTGGGTGGAAAAAAATTACAACCAAAGATTTTGGTGCACTTGGCCCACCTGATCTGCAAAATACCCAAATGAACAACAATAGACACGATTAAAACAATCCAAAATGTACACTAACGATAAAAAAAATCACAGATAAAACCCACAACGACCACTGAATGAACATTTGTGTAAATGCAAAAAGAGAAATTTTATGGACAGAGAGATAAGACAGAATTGCTGCATAAAAGTGTAAAAATAATCAAACTGAGAATAGCGAGGAAGATAAACGAGGACCCAGACTTATAAGCTCGTATTGTATTCAAAGATAATAAACAAAAAATATGTTGGATTTTTTATACAACTTTCCATGAGTACGCATGAACCGCTGTTGGGAGTGTTTCTGCTCTCCAGTGCGGACCACCCCTCACTGCAGTGCTGTAGTAAAGGATAAATATATCCCCCTCTTCCTCCTCCTTTTCCTCCTCCTCCTCCTTTCGTTGAACCCGCAACATCCCGACTGGCCTCGGCTGGTGATCGCAGGGAGCGACGCGCCCGCAAGGGGACGGATGAATAAGTGAACCTGCTGTTTCCCTTCTTTGTTGACGTCTCCAGCCCTGATCCTGACAGCCTGAGGTACACACAAGGTGAGTAAACAATAAAATAAACAAGACTGCTTTATTTACAGATAGGCTGAATTATTATATAAAAAATCACAACAAACAAACAAAAAATACTAGAATTTGCATGCAGGACGCGTTGCTGGGGTCTATGGTTACATATTGGTTTACGCAGAAATCTTTTTTTCTGTCCAACTCATTTAACTTCACCTCAAAGTGTGCTGCAGGAACTTCACACACACGCGCGCGCGCGCACTCTCTCTCTCCCTCTTTCTCGCTCTCTCTCTCTGGAAAGAAAGGAGCCTAGGTTTTCTCACTCCCATGCACCATTCTTGGTCATTTCAGTCGGTGCTAATTATTGTGAAGGCAGTCCCCATGCGCGCCTCAGATCACATAGCGCTGCAGCTGCCTCCGCGCGCGCAGCAGAGCAACTGCGAGTCTATAATAGGAAGGAGGTAAGGTTGCGCAGCTGACGGTGCTGATTCCGAAGAGGCACAGCTCTGCAGTCCTATTTAAGTGAATGGTGTCTCGATCCTTTAAGGGCTTCTCACTCAGTAAAACCTCATAAAATATCAACAAATGACAGGAAACGGAAGGAGGATCTTATTTGGACATACATGGTTCATTATCAGATCTACCAAAACATCTAAGGTATATTTTTTCTCATTTAAAATCACTTTAACAGTTCCTGTGTTTCCATCTACTGACTCAAAATTATCCTCACAAATTTGAATCGATACAAGATGCTTGTTTTCAGTCTGATCTATAGCTGCTTTTCCACCCCTGTAGGCCTCCAGCACACAGACTGGCCATGGGGATCAAGGCTGCTCTCCCTAGATATGAGCTGTATCTCTACTCGGCTGTGCTTGGCGTGGCACTGATATGGGCAGGCAGTTGGATATTTGAAGCCTCAAGTGGTGAGTGAGTGAGTGAGTGAGTGAGTGAGTGAGAGAGTGCACAAAACCTTTCATGGGATGTCCAACATGCAGTCGGTGTACATTCTTGAAGGCTTTCGGTGTGTTTTTGTCTGACGAGATTGGAAGAAATGAGCACATTTTTCAAGAATTCGCTGCACCTTACCAGCAAAATGAGATTTTAACTAAAAAGATGTGAAAGTTAGCTAAATGTGTCAGGATCAGAAACTGGGTCTTCATCCAATATGTAGAGAAGTCATTCAGCAGTTTAAAATGGGAACTTTGTCCTCAAAGGAATTTAGCACTATCTAATTAACAGGAAGTCAATCAGAAATGGTCCTGTCTGCTGTATTCTTTCAGACGTTTCACACAATAAGCCACTCGGTAGAGCATTTTAGTCCTCGTCCTTTAATGAAGCATCTAGAGATTTTGACCTAAAAATCAGAATAAACAAAACAATTCTTTAAAAAATACATGTTTTCAAAATTAAACATTACATTTTAACTCCCCTTGCCTTTATTAACCCTCCCACTGTCTTTATGGGTGACCCCGTGAGGAAAGTTGACCATTGAGCAGGATGGATGGTTTATCCCTTGAGGTCCATGTGGCAGGGGTGAGGAGTGAGCACCACCACCTAAAGACAGTGGGAGGGTTAAAAGTAGTAAATAATACACATTTTATTCAGACCTAAAAGGTTAAGCTAATTTCAGTATATTTTGACTAAATTATGCCAAATGTTTCCATTTTAGCCTCTTAAATGCAGGAAGTAGCTCCTCTGCTGATCTGAACGAACTGCTGGTGGCTGGTACCGCGTGTCTCTGTCTGTCTGTGCTGTCATCGTCCTTCTGTTGGTCTCCTTCTTTTGCCTTCTGTCTCCGGAAATCACTTCTCTCTGGTCATTTAGTAGTCTGTGATGCACCACGAGGAAGTTTGGCTGCGTTCCCAGAAGTAAGAGCTTTTCCCTGACCTGCTCTCCCATTATAATGTTCTTTTTTTACAGCCATTAGTGTATTCAGGCGAAGCTGTGGGAGCTCCTGTGTGGGCACGTTAATATTCTGTTTCTGTGCACTGAACGTCTCAGCATCTCTGCTGCTTTTGAACATTTACATCTATTGTTTTGTTTTTTTGTTCACAGCACTAGAAAAATAGTCTCCTTTAACTAGATTTTGATCATACTATCATTGATTTCAGCCTCAAAAACAGAAGCTATGGGTTATAATAGCTGAAATCACCAAATGGACTCTCACCATCCCCACTGAGGATAATCCAATGCTCAGCTTTTAAACTGTCAATATCAGCTGGATTATTGGTAAAATCTAGTGAGGTTATTTACCAGCTGAAGAATGTTTTCCCATAATGCATTAAGTAAACTCACCTCCTTTAAATGACTTATTTCTCCTGCTACTCATTCACAGATAACGCAAACAGAAAGACCTTCAAAGAAAGCGTGAGACCAGGATGGCATTACTTCGGCAGGAAAATGGTAAATCCCTCATGTTTAGTGTCATGGACACAATTCAGCCTTGTCCAGCATCTCTGATGCACTTTTCTTTTGCCGCAGGACGTTTCAGACTTCGAGTGGGCAATGTGGTTCTCTACATTCCGCAACCATATCCTTTTTGCCCTCACAGGTCATGTGATCGTTGCCAAGATATTTTCCCTGGTAGCTCCTAAGGTGTGTGTTTATGAGAAAATGAGTCGCTGGGAATGATTGTGAGAATGCATTTATTTATTTATTTATTGTCTAACTGCATGGCTCTGTTGTATGAATGTGTTTTGCTTTGTAAATGAGCATTTTGGCATTATCAGCCACTCTTCTGATTTGTTGTGTGTTTTGATCAATAAGCTTTGGATTATTCCAAATTCAGTTCCATCTGTTACACATAACTTTTTATTTATAGACAGATAGACAGACAGGTAGATAGATGGACGGACGGACAGACAGACAGACAGATGGATGGA